AGCTTGAGGCTCTGAAAAAAAAAAAAAAAAAAAAAAGAGTTGGAGGTTGCTGTGAGCTGTGATACTACAGCACTCTACCAAGGGTGACATAGTGAGACTCTCCGAGACTGAATTAGTCTCACAACTGTTGCTAGCACATAATTGGCCAAAGCAACATAAATGCATGTAAATTTTGATCAAGACTAAAAAGTTGAATTATATTGGAGATCTATTTTTACTAGCATGTGTGGGGCTTTTTTCTCCTGACAACTAGTTCATGTATCCACTGATGAGAAGTCATTATTGCTACAATGAGGCAGGGTACAGAAGCAATAGTATCTCTTTTTTCCATAAATGTATATGCATAAATAATAGTAAAGGAAGCAAACTAACTGTTCTTTGAACTGCTTCTGATCATAGGTGTTACAGGAGAGCTGAAAAGCAGTTGCAGAGGTTTCAGAGATCTTGGTGCAATCCAGGAACTCGGGTGAGACCCCAGAAAGGCAAGTAAGTGCTTTATGAGCACGGGTGTATAAACTTTACTAGTGTAGAGTAAAGGATAAACTGAAATATCTGAAATGGAGAATTTGTGGAATTGGCTAAACACCAGACTGGGTTACTACTGAAGAGAGGATTTTTCAACTCAAAATCACATCAACAGAAAATATATGAATCAAAATACAGATAGAAAAAATAATGAAAAAACCCCCAAAATATTAGAGACCTGTGGACCAAGATCAAATGATCAAATGTGTGTAAAATTGGACTCCTAAAAGGGGGTAACAAAGTTAAGTTTAAAGAGACAAAATATTTAAAGAGATAATATGTAAGAAGGTTACAAATTGGTAAAATATACCAACCCCAGAGATCTAAACAGCCAAACCATCAAAAGATACATCAATTCAATGGAAAATACATGCAGCTGCTGAAAACCAACAATAAAGAAAGTTGCTGCTGAAAACCAACAATAAACAAAGTCCAGCCGCTGAAAACGAACAATATAGAAAGTTCTAAGGCTTGGTGCCTGTGGCTCAGCAGCTAAGGTACCAGCCACATACACTTGAGCTGCAGGTTCGAATCCAGCCCAGGTCTACCAAACAACAATGATGGCTACAACCAAAAAATAGCTGGGCACTGTGGTGGCCGCCTATAGTCCCAGCTGCTTGGGAAGCAGAGGCAGGAGAATCCCTTAAGCCCAGGAGCTGAAGGTTGCTGTGAGCTGTGAGGCCACGGTACTCTACCCAGGGTGAGCCCTGGAGGCTCTGTCTCAAAAAAGAAAGTTCTAAAAGGAGACAAATAAAAACAGACATATTGATGGAGACAGCAGTGAGAATGACAGCTGACTCATCAAGAGCAATGGGAGAGGCTCAGCGCCTGTAGCTCAGGGGCTACGGCGCCAGCCACATACACCTGAGCTGGCAGGTTCAAACCCAGCCAGGCCTGCCAAACAACAATGACAATTACAACTTAAAAAAAGCCAGGTGTTGTGGGTGGGCGCCTGTAGCCCCAGCTACTTGGGAGGCTGAAGCAGGAGAATCACTTGAGCCCAGGAATTTGAGGTTGCTGCGAGCTGTGACGCCACCCAGAGCCACATAGATTCTTATCTCCAAAAAAAAAAAAAAAAAAAAAAAGAAAAAGAAAAAAGCAATGGGAAACAAGACAACGAAATTATACCTATAAAATGTTAAAAGTAAAGCAAAGTCATTGAGATCAGAATTCAATATCTAACAAAAATGCCCTTAAAAAATTACAGGCAATGGAAGACATTTTCAGGTAAACAAAAACTAGTAATGTCATAAGACGACAGCCTTCAGAAAAACACTAAAGGAAGTTCCTCCTGCCAGAGGAAAATGATGTCCAGTGGAATCCAGTCCTGGACTAGCCAACCACAAACACCTGCGAAGGCGGCCCTGCGGGAACTTCGAAAGACGGGGGGTGGGGCTGTTGTTTTGAGAGTGTCTCACTTTGTCCCCTGGGTAGAGTGCCGTAGCGTCACAGCTCACAGCAACTTTAAACTCCTGGGCTCAAGTGATCCAACTGTCTCAGCCTCCCAAGAAGCTGGACTCCAGGCGCTCGCCACGACGCCCGGCCAGCTTTTCTCTTTAACACGCACGCGCGCGCGACCTCGCCACACATGTGACGCCTTCAGACAATTCTCGCACCAACTGTGGGTAACAAGAGGCAGCTTTCCTGTGTCCGCTAGAGGACACTGCGAGTGATGTCCCTGGCCCCTCTGTCGGGGTAGCGCGGCTTGGCCACTGCACTACCCAGAGGCGCGGTCTGCAGTCCGCTTCAAGCCCCGGGTCCTTTCACCGCCGGGCGGGGCGCCAAGCCCGGATCCCAGGCGACCCTGTGCGCAGGATCAGAGGTCCATGCCCAAGAGGCGCGGCTGCACCGGTAAACGTGCTGCGTCCTTCCACGTGACCGCCCGCCCATGTGACCGGCGGCCGCCCGGCTGCCCCCGCGGTCCTCTAGTCCCGGGCGGCTGCTCCCCCCCCTGGGGAGCGGAATTTCTCCGGAAGCCGAAGGCGGGGCTGGATGGAAGCGCCGAGCCAGGCCGGACAGGGAGCGGGCGCCGCACCCTGGGCCGGGGCCTCGCGTGGAAGGCGCCGGCGGCAGCGTTCTCCGCGCAGGCCCGGCGCCCTCGGAGTGGCGGCGGTCACTGTCCAGGCCCGCAGCTCGGTCCACCAGTCATCAGCGTGTGACTCGCAGTTGGTCGATGAAACATCAGCAGGGATCTGGGCCGCGCCGGCTTGAGGAGTAGAGAAGCCCGTATGGCCAGCTGGAGCGTGATCTTCGTGTTCTCGGGACAGTTTTGGTCCGAAGCTATTAAACAGGCTTCACTAAGGTGGCTGGAGAAGGGTTCTGACCAGCACCTGTATGTGTGCCTTATCCACCTGACTAGGCTTTTCCACAGTGAGGAGTATCTCTCCCCGAATCTGGGCCGGTTATGAGAAATCCACTACACACCTTGACATCAGTTCACCACGCTGGTTTTATCGAGTTCCACAGCTCGGCCAGGCCGTGAACCACCGCTGACTGAGGGTGTCTGAGGTTCCTGCTTTCTTCTCCCAGAGGACAGACACCCTTCCGCCTCTAACTGTTCGAGCATCGGTGTGGCCGGACTTGTCAGACCCAGGAGGGAGCCTTTCGCCCCTAGGGGAAGAAGTACAGTCCTAGTCACGGTGCAGTCCTGTGGGTGCTGTGCAGTGAGTGTTCTGAGCCAGGGCTGTGACAGCTCTGTGCCCTGTCGGGTGTGTCCCCAATACTACAGAACTCCCTGCTCCCTGGCTTTGCCTCCTCGTCGTCCTCCAGTGCTCTTGGCAAGGGTGGTCAGGTATCTGGGGTTGTAGTTTCCCTCAGGATGTCTGTTTGTTACCCAGATCCACTTTCACCTTTCTTTTACCTGAAAGCCAGAAGACAGGAGAGCTAAGTGGCTGCAGCCAATGGGAGGCACTGGCATGGAGATGGGAGAGCAGAGAGAGGCAGGCTGGGGTGTTCCCTCTTTCTTGGCTTTGCAGCATTGATGCTGCTCTGAGGAAGGCCATCAGCTCTGGTTTTACAGGGTCTACGATCAGGGTAGGGGGCACCACACCCTTATGTGTTGGGCCTTCAGATACTGACAGTTCACACTGTGCCAAGTGTTGGGGGGCTTACAACCTGTTGACCTTCAATGCTGCTCATAAAAATAATTCATTAAACTAGCTTCAGCCATCTTGTTTAATTTCATCCCAGACATTTTATTCCTTTTCCTGATGCTTCTGTTAGTTCAAGAGAAAAGATACTATCTACAACTGCAGGTTTCGTGGACTTTTTATAAGTTCACACTAATTCAAAGATTTCCTTGACCAAGGACTTATGTCCATAATGTTCTTGGGAGAACAGTTTATACCTCTTTGAAAATGTAGGCTTTTATTTATGTTTTTCTTCAAATTGGTTTCTTGTAAAATGAATTGCAACAAGATTTCTTGACATATTACTTTTAAGTAGTTTTTAATGCAAGAAATGGGTTCCTTGGCCACTGGGAAGAAGCAGGTTGAGAAAAGCAGAATTAAAAGAATAATTTGTTCATAATTAGAATCATTTTCAATTGATGGGAGAAATACTGTTTTTGTTACTTTCTAAAACCCAACCACCATCACCAAAACACAGAACTGTCGCCCTTGTTCAGGGACATGGACACTTTGAGCTATAAAGGTTGTGTTTTGACTTTTTTTTTTGGAGATGGAGTTTTACTGTGTTCCTCAGGCTGGAGCACTGCTCACAGGCCTGATCATGGTGCACTGTGGCTTCAAACTCGACCTCTTGACTCAGCCTCTCAAGTAGGCTAAACTACAAGTGTGCACCACTGTACCCAGCAACAAGTTGGGTTTTTTTGTTTTTTTTGTTTTTTTTTTGATGCAGGGTCTCCACTTTGTCGCCCAAGCTGGAGTGCAGTACTGCAGTCATACTTCACTACAGCCTCAAACACCTGGTCTCAAAGGATCCTTCTACCTCATTTTCTGAGTAGCTAGGACTATGGTCATGCATCATCATACCTGACTAATTTTTAAAAATTCTTTGTAGAGACAGGCTATGTTGCTTAGGTTGGTCTTGAATTTCCGGGCTCAAGTCTGCCTCAGCCTCCCAAATTGCTGGAATTATAGGCATGAGCCACTGCACCTGACTAACATTTTAACAGCAGAAATGGAGATGCATTCAGAGTTTTAGAAAGGTGGAGGAGAGGAGTTTATTTGTAATTGGCCATTTGCCTGGCCCAGCTGGTGGCTGGTTACTCATGCGTTAGTCCCCCTGGCTGGCAGGCACTGCTGCAGCAGGGGTGGCTGCTGGATAGACACCATCCAGATCAGCACAGGTTGCCATGATCCGGATGGTGGTGCAGCGGAAGCATGCTGGGCCCATAACCCAGAGGTCGATGGATGGAAACCATTCTCTGCTACTGCCCTTTTCTGCCCTGGGGCCCCTGAGCTCACATCACTGATCCCCATCTTGTCAAGGGCACAGGGAGCAGCCAGTTCTATGGTGTCAGAGACCAGAGTTCAGGTTGGTGGTGCTTGCCATACCAAGTGACCCTTTTTCCCCTCCTCAGGGAGCCTGGGACATGTGCTCCTGGTCCTGACAGCTCCTTCTTCCCTCCCCAGTGGAGTTCCTGATTTCCGAAATCCATTGTTCTGAGCATTCCATGTCATTACAATACTTCAAACTTTCATAATTCCTGAGTATCAAGGCAGCCTTGGCCAGTAGCCAGAGCACTGCCCTGCATACCACATGAAGCCTCCACTGGGTTGTAACCATCTGAAGACAGAGCCATACAGGCTGTCATTCGAGCTGGACTCTGGCTATTAAGATGTGATACCTGCAGGACTTAATGATGATGATGAGCTAACATCAATGAAGCATTCACCAGAGGCTTAAGATTTTCCACCTTGGCACTGCTGACTATTTCATACATTAACTGCTTTGGGACATACTAACAAACACTGACGAACACTGATGAACATCCAGTGAGGTGTCCTAGTGGTTTTGGGGTTTTTTTTTTTTTTGCAGTTTTTGGCCAGGGCTGGGTTTGAACCTGCCACCTCAGGCATAGGGAGCTGGTGCCCTACTCCTTTGAGCCACAGGTGCTGCCCTAATGGTTTACTCTTAATACAAACAGGAATGAGTGCCTTCAGCTGGTAATACTGCTTCAGGGACTTTTGTCTTAGGGTATCATTGCAAAACTATATTCCAGCCAGCATGTGAGCACCTACTCTTCTAAGCTCAGTACTTTTGTTGCAGCCTCAACCTTCTAGCCTCAAGTTGTCCTCCTGCCTTAGCCTCCCAAACAACTGGGACCGCAGGTGCCACCACACCTGAAATTTTTTTTTTTTAGACAGTCTCAAGCTGTCACCCTGGGTAGAATGCTGTGGTGTCATAGCTCTCAGGAACCTCCAACTAGGGTTCAAGCAATCCTCTTGCCTCAATTTTTTCTATTTTTAGTAGAGATAGTGTCTGGCTTTTCCTCAGGCTGGATCTCGAACTCGTGAGCTCAAGCAATCTACCTGCCTCAGCCTCCCAGAGTGCTAGGATTACAGGCATGAACCAACCACACCCATATTTTTTTATTTAAAAGTGTTCAGGCTCGGCGCCTATAGCTCACCGGGCTAAGGCGCCAGCCACGTACACCTAAGGTGGTGGGTTCGAATCCCCA